CGAAGTAGACGAGAAGAGAGAAAATGAAGGTGAGGAGAGGAGGAGAGAGAGAGGAGAGAGGATGGTAAAAAGAGGGGTGGGTATGCGATACCATAAAATAGGAATTCCTATGAGTAGTATCACATGCACAGCCGGGTTGAAAACACAGCTGTTCGTTCATCGTACAAAATTACTGGCACAGATCACACAGTGGGGATCGTATAGACCATCTTTTATAAACAATTGGTTTCACGAACGTGGAAACTTTTTATCGAACTTAAAGACGGAAAATAATTTCATCGAGTCATAATGTCCTCTGATAGGACGGATTTTACGTAGAGTTTGTTGTTCTAGATAGAACAGTGCTCTGAAAGCAAAAGGGGCAGAGGACATTCGAAAATCAATTACTTGAGCAAAGGTGAGATATCCCAGAATCCAGCGGAGAAATGACCAAGTCAGGAGGGATCGAAAATCAATTACTCAAGCAAAGGTGAGATATCCCAGAATCCAGCGGAGAAATAACCAAGTCAGGAGGGATAATGGGTTTAAGTTTTTCAAAAAAAATCATTTCCTGTGCGAGCAAGCATGAAGAAAACTTCGATAGGACGCTTGAAATAGCAGGATATAAATTCGTAAAATATTCGGCATTTTATCAAAAGGCTTTATGATTAGATTTCGCAAGCCAAGGGGACAAAATTTTCTTGGGTAATTTTATATACAAAAAAAATTGGAATCTCCGAAGGAAAAGAGGGTATCATAACCTCATGAAACTTCAAATAACCCCACTAAGAAAGCAACACCGTGAACGGGTGGGCATCACCGACACCAGGGATCTACAATCAGAGCATGGAAAATCACCCAACTCTCAAGCTCCTATACTCAGATGATTATTGAAAATTGGAATGGAAGTTGCGATTTGCTCAAAACCCCGAAAAACTTCAATCGGATAGCCGAAGACCAAGCAAAGTCCCACATCGGACCGGATAGCATTTGATGTGTGACCTACTACTGCCAATAACTCAGTCCTACAGCAAGAGGTCCTAAAACAGTATAATTCGTAAAATGCTCAAAGCATTTGAGAAGACCTTGTCAGGACCAATGAATGATTCCATCATAGTGAGAGTGCTATCTCCTAAGAAAGAAACACATATAGTCAGGAGTAACACACTATTTACTAGTGCTCGCAAAGATAACCAACTACTGCAATTAGAAGATTCGATTGGCCGAAGTAATAGGAGTGGAGAATCTCATCGAACTACGGATGACAGGAGATTGTTCCTTAACTGGCGGTCAAAAACGCCCGATAGAGCATATGCGTTGGAAAAGTCGTTTTTCAGGAAAGGTGATCAGGAACACCTAAGCTGAAAAATAAAGTCGGGGTAAAAGAGCTTCTAAGTAGGATACTAGGGGGGGTGGAAAGGGTGGAACACACATCTATTGCTAAAGCAATCCCAAAGTATCAGCAAGGTAAGCACGAAGGCAAAAAAGAGTGCAAGGATTGCTAGGATCCCTAGAGTGAAAATAGGAGGGAAGTCTATAGAGCATGGAGGGGTGGGTAGATTCATGGCGGGGCAATGAGGAGGGGGGAAGGACATCAACTGATCAGGACGCATGACGAGAGAGATCAATAGAGTGAAGATGAGTATGCAGGGGAGGAAGATGGAAAGCACAGAAGGAGAGCAAGGGGGGAGTCTCATGTTGAAACACTGCTACTTAGGGCACTTCGGGCGAAGACTGGGGCAGGACGCATTAACCCAAGAAGGCGGACAATACGAAGTACGACGATGGTCCAACGAATCAAGGAAGCTCAAAAAAGCTGAAGTGGCCAAAAATAGGCAGACGATCGTTACGACTCCCATGCAAAAGCTCGATAAGTCCATGAAGCAATTACTCCAGCGAGGAGGCTTTTGAAGACCAGAGCCAGACAACATCTCCTACGACAAACGAGCAAACCACGCAGCAACATCACACATGTAGTACAAAACGTTAGGAATTCAAATATTTTACGGTATCGTTTAAAATAGGAGTATGGAAAAAATAGTAGAAGATAGAAGAGCTCCCAAATTTGGTCAAGCGACCCCATCATGTCGACGTAACCTGAAAGAATGGGGTTAGTAGACCAGTCCCAAAGGCCTTTTCGCCAGTGCCTGCCATACTGGCTCATCAGGGGAGAGAGATACCCCTTGGTTAACGTACCTCACTGGGAGAAGGGAGAGTGCCTTGAGAGGAGATAGGAAACAAGTATGGGGACTATGAGATCGAGAGGAAAGAGGTGGAGGACGGGGGGAGGGTGGAGGGGCGAAAGGAATTACGTATCCGTTACCGTTGTCGATGAAGAAGCTTGAGCGGCTGACATGGTAACACCACGAAGAACAAGGAGCCTGTCAGTAGAAGAGAAAGGGTTATAATCCCGTTGTGACACGTATGCCAAGGAGCCACCCTCTGAAGGCAATCTCGGGAACTGCCGTTGTCAAGAAATACTAGCCCGATCAAACACTGTAGGATATAGCCGAGATTCTCATCACCCAATATAACCCGCAGCAGAGCAGAAGCAGCAGCAAATAGGCGCAAAGGGCTCAAGGAGTCGATGATCCCCCGGGGGTGCGAATCGTGCAGCAGCAGCGTTACCGAAGCCAAGGCCGCACATCAAGCAAGCTAGAAAAAATGTGCAGCTTAGCGGCGTACAGCAGAGGTGGAGCACTGATTATGGCGATGGTTGGCAATGCCGCAAGAGCAGCAGCGATGGGCACACACTCCACGAGCACAGAAAATGACGTATCACTGGTACAGACGCGCAGAAACCTCGTTCAATTTGAAAAACACGGCGGAGTTCGAGGTGTGCGCGCTACCACGCGGAAAGCGATAGCAGAGCGGCACACACCCGAAGTGTACCGCGGCACACCGCCGAAGCCCTTCGCTAAGTAGTACTTCCGACTAAAGCTCTGAATGGAGCCAGGATCAGAGTATATATACAGACCTAAGTCGTTTCATCATTTGAAAGAGGTTTTCTCGGGGGGACAAAATAAAAAAGCAAAAACCACTTTCAAAAAAGGAAATCAGGACTTATATGAGGGAGGCCTTATTTCGTACAGGGCGTGGGAAAACCTCCTATGCCTGGGTTTCGTGTGCGGAGGAAAATATATATATTTATATATATATTTAAATATATATGTCACAGCCCCTCGTTTGTTGTCCTCTTCTCCCTCTCTGCCTACGGTTTACCGGGCAGTTCTATTTGACGATTTATGATGTGACAATATATATATATATATTTTTTTTTTGGCTGTGACAGACCTTTCTTTGTTTCGTGGATGTTTTGCTGGCTTGTGATGGGGTGTGAACCGACAGTCTGTAGAGTTTTTCATCTGGTGTGGGTGAGTGATAGTCTACTTTGATTTTGGTTAAGGTAGATTATCATTTACA